AGAAGCTAAACAATTTATATTTACAAAAGTTTCGGACAATTTCAAAGTTCTCTAATCTTAATGTTTTCAGAATATGTTTAATTTATCCAGAAAGTTTACACTGCTTTAAGTATATTTATTGTTTCACGATGAATAGACACGCAAACTCATTGTCTTCATGACAGCAAAATAAATTACACAAATAAATTGAAAACAACAAAGAACATTCATTTTTATATCTTACAATGAAAATTATAAATTCTTACAAATAACTTAAACGTCTAGACATTAATTTTTTATCTAGATAAGACCTGAAAATATTTTGTAACTGTTAATTTTAATTTCTGAATCTAAAATGGTTCCAAAAAGCCTAGGTATTACTTTGGATCTAAACTAACCGGTATATAGACAATAACATTCAAAATCCTAAACCAACGTTCAAAGTTGATTTAGACTAGTACTACTACTAGTAGTTACTAGTAGATAGACGATAAAAAATAATTAAAAACCAACAAAGTTACTGTCAGTTAACAATTAAAAAAAGATTCGAATGCAAAAAAGAAAAAGCTATTACGCAAGCCAGCTCCTGTCACACGTAATAGTCCGGCGCAAGATGCATCATTAACAAGTCGATCCGTCCTGGCCACATCAGCTGATAGCACAAAAAGCTACACCTAACATCTGCCGGCCTGAATCACCGGCCCTTGGCTCGTGCCCGCTCGGGGAAAAAAACGACCCTAAAGTGTAAACTCACGCCGACCGTTATAATCGCGGTGTTGTGGGTGGACTCACGTGGCAAAGCGCATCGACATTTTAAATCCGCCTATACACTGATTGGTTATTTTTTTTATATATATAATAATTATAATAATCGTTTTAAATGAAATATAAACTTGACACTGGCCCAATCCGCTGAGGGAGAGCCATAACCATGAAATAGAATAGAATGAATAATAAGTAATACAGAAAATTATCGAAATTGATTAATGGTATTATCTTCTTGATATATTTGCAAGATATTGCTTTGAATTATAAATCTTTTAGAAAGAATGTCAGTTCTACAAATAGAGCACAAAACAAATAAGTTTTCTTTCCAAATATCAGGCATTATTCGTTGTGAATAAAGGCAATTAAAAAAAAGCTCTTAACACTGACATTGAAATAAATTTTATTTATTCTGTTATGATACAAAGTGGTCGTAAATCGTAATGTCCTATTGTTTCTTAATCTGTTCTCGTAAAAGTATTAAATCTAGACATAATAGTCGTAACATCATCCTAAGTATAATAGTTTTCGAAAGAAATATAGAATAACTAAATTATAATAAATCCAGATTAAATTTCAGATCTGACACATTTCTGTGCCATTAACTCGAGATTAAAAAAAATTCCGATCGCAGAAAACGTATGAATCTAAATAAGAAAAAAGCCATTAAAATTTGATAAAAGTCTCTTGGTAATGTTTATTATAGTACTGTTTATAAGAATGGTTGTTAATTTTTTTCCTTTGGCAACACAATTTGTTTTTCTAACTACACATTTTATTAACGGACAGAATAAATTATAATCCTTGTAGATGGCGACACTGTTGATTTAGCTCTACGAAGAAAGGTAATGGAAGACAATTATAAAGATTTATTTAGTACAATTCAACTTTCAGAATTTGTAGTTTTATTCCTATAATAATAAAGAAATATTTTATACCTCGGACATTTATTTATATTTTATATTATAAAGAGCGTCGGTGGCTCAGTGGTTTGAACACTTGACTTGTAATCTACAGGTCTTGGGTTCGAATCCCGCCATGTACCAATGTGATTTTCGATTTTTCGAATTTTCATATGTACATAATTTACTCGACGTTCTTACGGTGAAGGATAACATCGTGATGCAACCTGCACATATCGACGAAGAAATTCAAAGATATGTGTGAAGTCAACCAACCCGCACTTGGCCAGCGTAGTTGACTATGGCCTAGTCGCCCCTTATTAGGGTAGGCTCCGAGCCCCTCGGTGGTGACGTACAGTGAGCTGGTGATGATGATGATGATGACATTTATTTAAACTTATGTAAGAATAAGTTTTCTACTTATAATAATATTCCACTAGCTTTCACCCGCGACTTTACGTGGAATAAAAAAAACATGAAATTAATAAAATGTAACTGTAAGAATGAATAATATTACATTTCGTATCAAATGAATTGCCAAAAGATAACGTATTGATTTATATCTATTTGAAACTCAATAAAGCTGAAAGCGACTTCAAGAATCCAGGTGTATTTTACGATAAGACATCAATCAAGTATCGAAAAAACACCTTTTAAGTCAACAATAGATACAATCGGTTCTACGATAAAAGACCTAGAGGTGTATGACAGGGCGCTATGATTGGAGCGGTACGATGCGCGGGCGCAGCTGCCGGGCACATTGCGCGACGCGTGCGCACACCGGAGATAATATGGTCGACATATGAACCGTACGGTATAAATAATGCCTCCATAACGTTGAACTTTTTCATGTTAACGTTGAAAAAAAGCTCCAACGACAACGGAAATCGGTAATCTAGATTTTTTTATCTTCTTAAAGTAATTCTTTTGAGTTAGGGTCGTGATATAAGTATGGAAAATAAAAGGTGACGATAAATTGAACGTTTTTAATCAATGAAATATATTATGATAGATTTGCGATTTATGAGTTTGTCATAAATTTCTGATAATGTATACTTATTAAAAATAAAATAAAAATTCGATGATTTTAGGATCTAGTTGATCTACCTCAGTGTGAGTTGTAAATCATTATAGCTTCTGTTTAGAATGCAGACGGGATACTGACTTTCTATTTAAATTATTTGAGTTAATATAGTGCTTAGTGTTTTGTAAATGAAAAATAAATAAATTCAGAAACAGACCTTAAATAAAAACAGTTAAAGGAAAGTCAACGTGGTAACTATTGCCTAGGCAAACTTAAGGTAGGTTTCAAACCCCTCAATGGCGACTTGTAATGAGCTGACGATTAATGTTGTCATTCTTCAATTTATATAACACTGAAGGAAATAAATCAAGAGCACTAACAGATTGTAAGAGATTGCTAAGTAGCTATTAAATAAAGGTGATCCCAGAACAAGGGAAGGTGCCTCCCCCATTCCTCCCCGGCGAGAAGCTTCACGGTGGTTGTTTTAAAACTAATTTGCTAAGTTACTTTGCAGTCCTTAACTTATAATCGTAAATTAAGTCAAGTACCTTCTCGGTGGAAGTTTTTCTGGTCGAGGCCTGGGTTTTGCGAGTTTCTGGACTAATTATCTTTTATAAGGTTTTATTATATTTCCTTTGGCCTATTATTGTTCTAAGACTATTGTTTTAATTGATTTTATTACTTGGATTTAAGTTTTCGACTCCTTAATCCGGTTTTATTTTGGAAAATAAATGTAACTCCTAACAATGAGTGTATGAATTTTTATATTCGAATAATCTTTACGGGATTTTTTGCCAACGCAAAACGTTTTCACTCTGTGAATATCGATCTCATTATTGCTAAGAATGTTCTCAATTTCATTTTCGTCTGCTTATCGATAAAAATATATCCCATTTTTCTCTCTCAATTTTGCAACAATTTTTAGCTCATCTGAATTTATCATACTTTTCAAAATTTCCACTGGAAAAATACAAAGTTATAAAACCAATATTTCCATTTTCGTTTCGCGGGCTATTAAATCTACGCTATAATGTTTTTATTACTATTTTATGGTAATATGTCCTTGTTTAGAGTTTCAACCTGTATAAATCGTCTATACATCCCGCTAAGAGATTAAAACATTAATAAAACGAATATTTCTATCGTGGTCAAGCCAAAAAAAATTATGAAAACGTAATTTAGATGATGTACATTTTCCACATTTTTATAACCAGCTTTCGAGTCCGTCCGCATACAATTTAGAAAACATATGTGTAGTCTATGTGTTTTTCCTGACTATCCTCTACATTCATGCAAAATTTTATCGAGATCCGTCTAGCCGTTTAGGCCCTAAGCTCTAACAAATATCTATACAAATTTCGCATTTATAATATTTGTAGGATAAAATACCTAGCAAGAGGCAGAATTTATTATAATGAAAAGAGCAAATATGATATTATCGAGTTTCAAAACAATGCACAGTTTCATATCTTTATGGGGTTATCTATCAATAATAACTTTCCTTATCATCATATCTATAGTCGGGAAAGTTACGGAGAAAAATACTTATTTAAAGGGCTATTGATTTTAATAAATATAAACTCCTTTAGATCACAACTGGCTTTCTTATTCAGCGGCACGTGAACGTATTACTTCCGCGGCCATTTTACAGAACGTCGGAACACCGACACGACAAGATGGCGGTAATCTATGCAGACGAATAAATTAATATAAACCAAGTCCCGTAAATATGTCATACAAAATGCATGACTCAAATCAAATCAAAATAATTATTTTAGTTTTAAATACTCCTATTTAATTATCATTTAATACACGATACAATTCCTATAGTATTGAGTATTGAACTCTCCCAAATGATTTTTTTTATAATAAAAGGGGGCAAACGAGCGGCGAGAGCACCGAGGTGGTCAATCGGACATCCGCAACACCAGAGGAACTACTAAGTTGCCGGCCTTTGAGGGAATAATAGGCTCGCTTCTTTAAGGACCCTAGGTTTTGAATAAGTTTCTCGTGAAACATCCTTAGTAGAGAAAATTTGACGAAGGATTTTGTTAATAGTTATTCTAGTGTTCAAAGATACACAATAACTATCAGCATACCTTGTAACCTGTCTTTAAATTTAACACATCATAACTTATAAAACCACCCCTTCTTAGACATTATTTTGTAGCGTCCAATATTCAATAGTAATTTAAGCAGTATTCATTTTATTCCAGGGAATCTACGATAATATTCATCAACAAAATTTTCATCATCATCAAGTTATTCTAGGGCCGCCACACCTACTCCTTCATACATGTCCATCAGTCGTTAAAAATAGTTTAATTTACCTTTTTCTCGGTGAGTTTCTCGCATCGTCTCTGCTTGCAGATTTGGTGCGATTTGTCGTTGCGACATGGTGCGCAGTCGCCACAGTTGTCTTTCCTCTGGCAGCCGATGCACTCGCCGCAACGTTTTCGCTTTTTCTTTGTCTGTGATGGGAAATACTATAATAATGTCATTTCATTTCTTCATTGAAATACAATTGATGTTGTCTCGACTCCGCCACGTTTAATGGTATATTTCAACAGTAATTACTAACACGGTTAAGAAAGCTTCCGAAAAGTTATTGAAATTCTCTAACTAAATGTTTCTATGAATTAGACTACTTAAAAATGCTTTTTTTTTAAAAGCAATACAAAGTCGTAAACTAGTTTCTACAGAACATTCTTTTGATTGTCCGTTAGTAATTTTCCCTATAGAATTTTTCTTTATTTCTTGTTGCTGTTGATTATTAAACAATCTATTATTGATCTAGTGTTTTATAAACTTTTACATATGTTATTACAGTTCAATGTAAAAAAAATGGAACACCATCAATGTCAAAAATGTCGCAAGGGACAGCTGTTCCGCGAAATATATAGAAAGCGAAAGCAGTATTATGTAACTAGTGTTTGATTTTTTTTTAGTTACGCACAATTGACGTCAAAGTGGGATATATAAACTTTTTTCGGTATTTTCTATCTCTGATTAATATAAATGTTTTTAAAATATCAGTGTAATTACTAAGTAATATTGATAGTCTTTTTTTCTATAACCGCAATCGCAATTTCATAAAACAATTTCAACAAACGGTTGAGGGACTATTGTTCGTGTATTCGTAGGCCCTCATACAGGAATTCAAAGCGGGTACGCTGAGCGTATCTGAGTGGGATCTTCGCGTGTCCGGTCGCTCCGGGACTCGTTCCCATTAAATGCAAAGAATGTTATTGCAAAGCGGGCCAAATTCGGCGCATTCTGCGAACCTTGTTAATAAGCCGTCTGGGTCATGCGTCCGTGTCCAACTGAAACGATAGCACTAAATCGATGGCTTCATTTCAACTACGTATCTTTATCTTACGATCTATATTTCATATTATTCAATATGTTATATCCATCCACAGTTTTATAAAACTGTTATAACATAGATATGTGGATTGATGGCTCGTGTATACACGAGCTTTATAAATGTACAACAAGTTGACATTTCGGCAAAGGGTAAACTGTTCGTATGATGCGCGAAACCCTAGTCACTTTAAATTTTGTATTATTTTATAATGACCACTTAAAATACATAGAAATTTTACTTAGGGAAGTGACTTTATCATAAACAACAAGCACAAAGTTACATTGATTTAAAAATAATTTTAAACTTTTCTAAAACAGTAACCCAGAACAAAATATATATATTTTTTTAGTTACGGTTTACAATTTCGTTAGGCGCATTTATAACATAGAATTAATCCGTAACCGTAAAAAACACAACAGCTGTGATACGGTGTGTATCGCCGCCATTTTGGCGCAATTTCATTCGTGCCCGCTTCGGCTATCTTCGCTTGTAATCGGAATCACCCGATTGTATAGAGTAGACAAACAGCTGACGCATGTAAAAAGTACCACGAGTCCTTAATGTTAGATGGTAAAAACTTTATACACAGTTGATAAGTTCATTTATGTACGGAAAAATGGAATTACCATGTGACAGTAATCATAACGTCTGAAAATGTAGGCCAAATTGACAGTAAATATGGTTTTTCCTTGCAAGCAATATGTTAAAACGTAAAATTGATAATTTTTAAATAGAGTTTGTCGTACACATTTATAGAACTAAAAATTACGTTCATGTCACGTGCGAGTTACATAGATTTATTATTTTATTATGATTACTTTAGTGATATTAATAAACAATATAGAAGAAGAAGAATATAGCAAAGAAGTGACGTTTCTAACTCCTAGCACAAGTTTGCGAAAATTTTCCGTACTTGGTGGTTCGCGGTTATTTTTTGTTCGAGCTCCATACATTTGGGTAATAAATCACCAAAAATTTTGTCGCTTCTTCCGTTTTCCCTGTTTTGTTCTTTGTTCTAGGAAACTTTCGCAATGGATTTTCCCGGTTTGACTCATTCGTATAATGAGTTGGTAACTTACGAATTGTGAGTTACAAGTTAACCGAATATAATATCTACTACATATTGATAAAGTCGAAAATGTTTTGTGTTTAATTTACTTGGAAAGAAAAATGTTACATCACGATTTATGTATGATTGTATATTTGTTAATGAGCTTTTATGATTCTGTTTCTTTCAGACGATTAATAGGAAAACTACGTTGCCAAGTTTTTTTTATTCGATAATTATGATGTCATTAAAACCAAGGTAATTATGAAAGGTATTACATGAATATCCCCTGTATTTTAATCTAGGATATTCAGAATAAGGTCCTTAGTACTTATGTTTATTTTTTTTCTTCGAAAATTAGATGCATATAGGCTAATTTAGACTTTAGTATATTAAGTCGTCAAGCTCCAAACGCAATAATTTCTCACCCTTAATAAGCATGTTTTAACGCCCTTGTATTGAGTCCCCTCGCAATCATAGATGACTTTGGAATTTTTAATTCGACATTGAAAATATTTTATTACACTCCGAACATATCTATGTATTTACAACTCTTATTTACATAATAAATTTATTAAAACTGAATGTTTCGAGCATTATAATAATATACTATTTCTTTTTAAATTTGATGCCTCAGGGGTGGACTCTAGGTTTAGTTAGTTGTTAGTGTTTGTTGTGAAACAGTCATTTTTAAGTTTAACAAAAATAGTTTCATATTTTTTCTCGATGCTTACATTTTTTGGAAATCACTTTTATATTTCGGTAACAATCTTATCTTTTAAAGTTTAAAAAAGACAATATATCAAAGCTTTTTTTTATATATTACCCTGTCAAAGTAACATGGAGAGTTTAATTCAAAAGATAACGGTTTTGTTTTTAGTTAAAATTGCAATATTGCGATTAGCTCTTGCGTGCGCCTAACAAGCGTCGCGATAATATCTTTATAATGTTATATATACTGTATTTTATAACAATCGGTACAAAGCTCCGTAATGGTACAGTGGACAAGCACCCTTATTTATGCATTAAAATTTATACTCAACCAAGTACAGTACTATTTTTGTTCAGATCTATCGAAACATCTACGAATTTATTTAATAAAAGTGTTGGCATAGATTATTTTTTAAGATGTTAAAAAAGATAGCCTCCATATTCCCGTTATTGGTGTATTTAAACAGTTAGATAGGATTATTTTATACGGTTATTTCTATTATTTTTCTTTATTTTTTAAATTTAATACGACTTTGACATGAGTAAAATTAAAACACCACCAAGATACTAATAATTTTTAAACTTTATAATACATTGTAATGCTATAAATGATATTTAAAAACAGCTGCTAAAATAATCCTTCTACAGAAAAGTTTTAACGTCATCAAATAAAATACCTCATGATAATGATAAGCACTTACTACTATAATTATTGTATCCAGTAAAGTTGATACTTCTAACATCTAAAATGACAAAAAAACCGTTCCGTAAACATAATTGGTTGGCACAGGAGCAGCTGCGCGACAAAGGTGTTTGCTGTTAGAGCGGGAAACAGCAGGAAATACTGACATTTATTACGTAAAGAATGTTCGATCTTTCAGAATAGTTACGTCATTTTTTTATCAATTCGAATTGCAAATATTGTGAATTATCAGGACATATAACAAACTGTCATTATCAAGTAACTAGCTGTTGCCCGCGACTTTGTCCATGCAATATTAAGATAAAACGTAGCTTATATTATGCCCGTCTATGTCAGCTAACCTTCAGTGAAAGACCGGTCGAAATCGGCCCAGCCGTTTTGTACATTACCCAGAACAAACGCGGCTTGCGGACTGACGAAAATGTTTTAATTGCGATTCTCTAAATCTGGAATTTTTCTTTTGATACTACAAACAGACACTCCAATATTATTATGTGTATAGATAAATCAGTAATCCATAGACGAAAGAACATCATACTTTAATGTATGTACTTTTGTCCTTTCAAAGTATATTGAACTTTTCCTAGCGATAAAACGACGATTCAAAACTGCCGCCTAATTGCACCAGCAGTTAAATTTGAATGAAACTCATAAAATTTTCTAAGCAGGACACGCGTAAATCGCCCGACTTTAATTTGTATTTTAAACGAGAGAGGAAGTTAATTTATTGGCGGAGCAGGCGAATCGGCTAACTATTAAATTTATTGCCACGAAGACAGAGTTCGGCCATTTTGCAACTCGAGGGCTCGGAAATAAAAACTGCTCGCCGAATAATAAAAGGTGGAATTACTGAGAAAGTTTCTCTTTTTCGGGATCTCACGAATATCCATTCGCGACGGATGAAATTTAGGAAATTCTCATACCTTTTCTCGAATACTCAGTCATATTTTTCGAATCCCTAGCGACTTTCTTTAGCGTGAAAAATACATTAAACGGTTACTAAACCTGATATAAAAAATCATAAAATAGTAATTATTTAAATATCTTAATGCTGTTAGAGCGGAATCGAGACTATTGGTCAAGACATGAAGGAAATCAAAATGTTTTAAAATAAATGTAAGGATTATTCTTTAAACAAAGCCAACAAAATCTTTCCTTTATATGTCTTGACTTTGAAATAAATGAAAAGAAGAGAAACTCACCTGTTTTTCACTGGATATATCATCGAGCTCCATGGGTCCAGTGCTCATGGGCGGGGCGCCGTGCATAGGCGACTTGAAGCCCGCCGTGGAGGACACAGCCGCGACTTGCCCGCTGCTTTCCGAACCCACCTCCATGTTAGAACCGTCAGACTCTGAACTGTTGGCGCGCATTTTCCGTCTCTCCTTCTTTCGAAAATCTGACCTCGTCGGAGACGATGCACTTCCAAAACCGTTTGACTTCTTATCGTACCCGTTGTCTAGTAACATTGGGTTCTGAAAATTGCTGTGATGTAATCCATTTGGAGTGTATTTATCTTGTAGCGCCTTCATATCGAACGGTTCGTTTTTCAGCACATGGACCACTGTTGGACTCTGAATGTTTTGTATAAGGCTCCCGTTTTGATGGAGGAGCGTTCCATTTTGGTGAAGAATTCCATTTTGAGTCGGAAAAGCATTAATTGTAGCGATATTAGGTTGATACAGCTGTATGTGTCTGTCATCAATGTAAGCCTGTCCCGCCGGCGTCAGCTCTCTCGCTTGCAGTGGTGCCGGTACTATCGGGTAGCTTCTAGCGTTCACGGCTGTCAGCGTATGGAATGTAGTTGCGTTGACCGGCGATAGCGTAGTCAGGGTCGTAGAAAGTGGCGTGACCTGCGCCAGTGTGGTAAGATGCGCCGGAGACGACGGCGTCGTGAGCTGCGTGAGCTGGGTTAACTGACTAGGACTCGCGCTGGGCGTAGGGCTCGCCGTGACCGGGACTGGAGTGACACTCGGTAGCCCCGTCTCTGGTATCACGGTCGTCTCTGGAAACGTCTGGAATTGACTCTGGAAGGACGGCAGCTTGTTGGGTATGGGCTGCAACGTCACCGATTGGTAGTCGAGAGGTGATGAGAATCCTGCACGAAGTATCGCATCTTTTGAGTTGACGGTGATGGGCATCGACTCCCACGGTCGGTATTGCGGCTGGCTGGCGATGACAGAGACGGTGTCACCCGTTCTCTCGTAGTACTCCCAGGCTGGGTCCAGCAGCCGGCCATCGGCTGTCAGTATTCGCTGCTCGTTGTCCGCCATGTCGCCAAACGTCGAGAAAGGCGGTAAATGCGCGCTATCCGCGCCCGCCTCACTCCGGAGCGCTTCGCTCATGACGTGTTGGCTCGACGAGACCGCATCGCGTCACTTTTTCGCGTGCCAAAACAGTAACACATACAAAAATAAGCTCTACACTAAGTCTATGTTGTACTGAACGATCGGAACTGTGATGGAACTTGATAATTTGTACTTTCTGGCTTCAGTTCGCTCTAACTCTAAATAGCACTTAAGTTACGACTATACGGCACACCGGTTTACACTACCCTAGTCACAATATCTTCGTTTGCTCACTACAAAATAAATAGTATAAAAAGTCCTTTACATACAGCTTAAATATTACGAGTCTTAAGGTTACGGGCTTATAAAATCTTTGGCTGACTTCTTTTTAGAAAATGCTCGAGGAATCGGTTCGTTTGCTCGTTAACTATCGATAAAATACTTTGTGCACTCGTTTAACGATTTTTCTATTATTTTGGAACGTTTAAATACTGGTCGTTGATATCTCTTCTATACTTTTTTTTCGTTCGAAGGCTTCTTTTTATTGTAAATACCGAATACTTCAGACTTAAATTAATTTGTACTGTTTGGGAGTTAGCGTATACTTTGAGTTTCTTCTTTAATTTTAACGTTTAAAAGGTTTTTAAAAAATAGTGCTTATATAATTTTTGAAACGAAAGATATGACTGGAGGCTTTGGTTTGAGGAATTCGTGTGTTTTGGTTGAGTTGTCTGCTTGTGCGGTCCGTTGTGTAGAGCGGCGCGTGGGCGACGGACCCGGCCCTGCTATCCGTGCGCCCGCCACAAATCTGCAAACAACACAATCAAATATTAATTACGTAAAAAAATAAGAAAGCAGTTCCCTTGACTTACACAATTAAACCGATATGATGCCATAGAAGGGCCTTTATACTCGCATTACTCTACATAATTGTACTACAATATTTTTGAAAGAAAACGAAAAATTAATAAAACCCTCATCTAAGGCAAATTCAGCGAAATCTGTTCAGCCATTCCGCAGATAACTTCGAACAAACATCCATCCATCTAAACGCATTCATCAGTAGGATTACCACGCGAATTTATAGGACATAAGGACATAAGGTTCATGACCTAATTATAGTGAGATAACAAGAACTGGTTCAAAATAAGGCAGCAAAGGAATTTGTGGGGATATTTGTAAAGTAACGCGTTGGTTCGGGTCCGAGTTATTTAGTGCTAAAGGGGCGCACGCGCTCTCCCTTGTTTTCGATCTCTCGCTAATCGATAATGGGATTCGCCTCACTTGCCTACACTCTTTTTGTACAAAAATAAATTAGATAATGCAATACTTTGTTGGAACACATCAAAATGAACCTAGCCAATAATGTTGCAGTCGGAATAGTTAACTTTTTAAATTTAGATTTACAATATTTTTTACACAAATTTTGTAAACTTATTACCGTATATGGATTGTAAACAATATTTGTTTTGGGCGGTAATGTGGCGACGGCGATGGCCTCGGAAACAGTTCGGCGTCACGTGGCGCTGTATATAAGCTTGTAAACAAACTATTTATAGAAAGGGTACGTTCATAGTAACGCTACGCTCTATTTCGGAGTCTCTATTTTAAGGGAAACTATTTTCGTGATGTTTCAATTCAAAACTATTTCGCGCGTATTTTTAATGTACGCGATTTTTAATCGACTTGAAAAGAAGATATTTCGTAGCCAATTTTTTTTTAGAGATTTGACACTAATCAACACATTTATATAAACAAAGTTCCGTAAGCATACATGTGTTACTATTTTTTTTGACATTTTTTTTGGAAAATACGATGTAATGGGCTAGTAAATATATTAAAATACTTTATGCGCATGTATTAAGCATTGCCTGTTACGTCATAGTGAACGCTTCACAAAAGTGCGATCAAAACGTTCCGACTAGTAATCACCGGGCGAAACTCTTTGTAAATGCGCACAAAGAGCGTTCCCCGAAAAAAAAAGATTAAAAAGCTCACTGGTACTCTGGTGACCAAACCTTACTATCAAATTTAAGGACACAGATCCTGTCTATAACAATATCTTAAACTTGTAACAACGGAATGTTTTCGTTTTGTTATTATTTTTCTATGACTTCAAATTTTTAATCAATGTTAAGTTTTTTAAAACCTCAATATTGTTTTGATTTGGTTGGTACGTTGAACTTTTCGAAAATGTTGTTAAAACCCGACTATTGCATTAATTTCTGCTCAGCCTAGTCGGAACGGCACGCAAGTCCAAATGACGCGTGTGTGCGCGTCGTCATTCGGCGGTCCGTGTGCTCGCGGGCTCAAGGATTCGTCTGCGCGTATGTGTGCTGTTTGCAGCGCTGTGTGCGAGCAACGCGATACTATCTGGGTCTCGGTTGTCAAGGGCAACCGTACAACCGCTGCAGCGAAAGCGCTGCGCTTGAAGCGGCTTGCTTCAATTCTACGGCTTATTTTTAGAGACGGATGTTGTCGCTTTTTTGTGCGGCGCAGCGTTGCAGCGGGAATGTTTAGTTGACGCTCGGGAATCCTTGAAACTTATAAAAGCTGAACTTGAATATCGCACTGTTTTCAGTTTAAGTTGTGTAGCCGTAAGCTTTAAAAACATTTGTTTACGAATTGCGTTCAGTATGTATGTTCAGTTTTAAAGATAAATCAACCAAAACCAAATGATATACTGCCTTCAAACGTAAAGAATAAAAGAAATTATATTCACTGACAAAGACAGCAAACAAATAAAGCTCTTATACATTTTTTTAACATAAATAAACACCAGCGCTTGACCGCGACTCCACCTGAGCGAAGCATATTTTTAAAATTTAATAAAACATGACATAATGGGAAGTAAAAGTAGCGCATGGTATTTCCTGGAATATATTTTTTACATGGCAACGAAAGAGTTCAACCGACTGACTATTTGATCGAGTTTTTTTTCTTGCCACTACAGCTGTGCTACACAAAGTATCACATCCGGCGGCGCCTGCGCATAATACCTGCGCCGGAAACAGATATCTCTGTCACTGTGATCATTTGCTGATAATCACAGATAAGGAATACACGTGTATTTATTGATGTAATCGTGTATTAAATACTACAATTTAACGTAGAAGTGTAAGCTATTAAAAAAGTTAAAATCTCCATCTACGGTTTTAAATGAACTCGGAAGGAAGCAATACGTAGGTTACTTACGAACAGTCTACTTACTACAGACAACATATCCAACAGTTAACAATTAAAAAATTAAACATAACAAAAATGCAATAAGTAAATCTCGCTAATATTATAAATGCGAAGGTTTAGATGGATGGACGGATGGATGTTTGTTAGCGTTTGTAGCCTAAACAGCTAAACGGATTACGATGAAATTTGACATAGATGTAGAGAATAGTCTGGAAGAACACATAGGCTACTTGCATTTGTTTTTTCAATTCCGCGCGGACGGAGTCGCGAGCGAAAGCTAGTAAATAAATAAAACTACGTTAAAATTTACACAGAAGCTTAATTCAGATATTAATTAATTCGCTAGAAGACTAACCAGTAGATATGGTTTTCTAAATATTTAGAGCAAGAAATTATTGACTTAAATCAAATTCAACTTATTAAAAAATTTCTCCGAACATCCCAAAAGTCTTTGTCCACTTAAATTGCTATGATCATTAATATGTACCTCATCAGTATCTGTTTACAGTAAAATGCAAATTCTGAACGGAACACGCGCATTAAGACGGTTGTAAAATTAGCCATTCGTTGTCATTACGTTTATAAATATTTTCGTCTGAACGCGCGCCCATTGAAGGTCTTTGTAAAGTACATTTGTGAATTTCTCTTGTATTTACTTCGTCAAATTTTTCTTAATGATTCATCTTTACTTTTTTTAAAGTCAAAACTAAAAGAATAAAAGACGCTTATTTAAAAACTATTCAATATAAATACTAACACAGATTGGAACATATAAGTTTTTAGTCTGATATTAAACATTAGTAAACAATTTCTCGACGTGTAAATTTCATTAACAAAAAAATATGAGCTCATGTCATTTTAAATCATTATTTAAAAATCACATTGATATTAAAACATAATAACGTCCAGGAATTTCTAGCTCAAACGAGCAAAGTAGGGTTTTGTATTTAAAATATTTTGAAGTATTGTGCTGTCCTGGGAACCTTTAACTCGTCTCGTAAAGTAAAGAATTTTAACAGACATTTACTTCGTTATCGACTATTTTTTTACTAACTTACTTTTTTCTTTCAATGTTTAATATGCAAACAAAATGCGGTTACTTTAACAGATTTGAATCTAATTTGGAGTATATTAAATTACAATGCCTTTATTAACTCTAACTGTATTCAAATAAAAAGTAAAATTGAATGGCATTTTGTTGGCAAACACCAAAAATTATATATGAAGAATTAACACATTTTTGCTACCTTAACTTTTTACATGATCGTAAAGATACATGAGTATTCTTAGGAAATTGTAACCGATCCTGTAATTCTAAAACATTCGAACATAACCTATAAACGATTGGTACGTTGAGGACAACCGAAGTGGATTACAAATCATTGTTTCTCACAGCACACAGACCTACATAGCGTCATCAGCGTGTAATGACAGCGCGCACAGGATGCGTGCATCAATTTGATTGCCGACCGCCGCGACCGCCGCACCGGGTTCGAGCTGACCACCGCGACCGCCGCACCGGGTTCAATCCTAGTTGTTTGTTACATACACAATTCTACGTACGAGTAATTTGGTACATGTCATAAAAAGTCTATATAAATCAGCGTTATAAACGACTGAGCTGTTGCTCTCGACTTCGTTTGCGTGAAATTAAATAAATAATAGAAACATAGCCTATGTCTATTGGAATAGACCGAGTAGTTTTTGAGTTTTTTCAATGCATACTAAAATCCAAAAATACAATTCCTTTCTCTCTACAATATTAGTATAGAAAACATTACATCTTTTTTTAAAAATCAAATTCGAAAACAAAAGTTTTGAATATGGAACAACAAAATAATGCCAACATACCAGAAAAATTCAGTTGAGTGATCAAATTAATTTGACGTCACGAATTTAAAATGTAAAAGGCGAAGACAAAGGCAATACCGCGATTAAGGCGCATTACAATGATAAGGCGAGGAAAGAATCTCCCGATATAGAGTTACCGTCCCATCCCATTCAAGCACTCGAATCCAGTTGAATAGGACCGCAGATGTGGCGTTTTTTACAACAATCTTTCCCACACTACTACTTTTTCTGATGCTTTAGTACCTTCACAAACAACACTGCTTTCTATTAAGTAAGTGTTATCACAAATTTCGTCCTTCACACAACACAATAAGGTGTTTATTGTAACACGTTGTACAATTTCAAACGCAAGAATAATGTTGCTAGATACAGTTTTGTAAAGATTTTTTGTCGCACACGTCTTTCTCCTATCGGATGCGACATAGGAAATTGGGCATTTTTTCATCGCGCGCGTTTAATATGGAATTGTCTGAAGGAAGTCACACATGCACCGTATGATTGTTTGATTTACTATTGTTTCCTTTTTTAAATTCAGTTTATACTAGTAAATGTTGACGGATTCAACTTTTAATTTTAAATTTTAAACATAAATTATGCAAAAATTCCCTCACAATGAGAGTAAGTACTAAGTAAAGCCCTAAATCAGGCTCCATACTAATATCAACCGACTCCTATTGAAAATACATTTTTGAGATCTATTTCCTATTTAATTTTTGAAAATTACTACCATAGACTCGGACTCCCTTTTAATTTTCTTTAGAGTTAAAGACATTGCTTAAGATATTGTTATAAACAAAATATCAAAAATACAATATAAAGGCCTTGTACTATACAAGTATAAATAAAAAACGTATTTTTATGATTTCTATGCGGCAAATAATGTGCCAATCTCCAGAAAGTGAAGTTTAAATTTAACTAGCTTTCGCCCGCGGCTCCGTATGCTCCGTATAAATGAATTACAAAACAAAAAATAGTAATGTTCTTCCAGACTATCCTTTACATCTATACCAAATTTCATCGAAATCCGTTCAACCTTTTAGACTACAAACTCTAACAAACATCCATCTTAACTTTCGCATTTATAATATTAGTACGAAGTATGATTTCTTGCTTTAGATTTATCAGTTATAATTTTAAACATAGTCTAAAAATGTGTTCAATTAGTGCAATCATTTGAACAGCGGACCAATGTGCGTGGTTTCAGAAATTCCGATACCAAACAAAATATCTATATACAGTCGTTCGTTCACCGTCGCGTCTGCGAATAAAATATCTCACTACAAGGCTCCAAACTTTGGCTGATCCTAGACGATAGAGAAAGTGTTTGGGCCCGTTATGAAAACTGGTGGCGTCTTTTCAGTTTGTTCAGGAGCAATAAGAAGGGGATTAGGCGAGTATAATTCAACTTAAGATATTACAGCCCTTAGGAAAGATTTTTGCCCAAGTACTTTCACTTTCTATACTTTATTAAAGTTTTGAATGTTTGCTTACACTTGTGTATTAGATGGCAGACGATTTTTAAATATTTTTGTCGTATTTATTCTTTATCCTTTAACGTAGGTTATACATATCCCTGTACTATTCCAGTAAATTAAATAAGTAACTTGGTAAAATAAATATTACTCACATTTATTTAATTAAAATATGGATTGGATAAAGTCAATTTAAGGTTAACATAACGATAAGCTTGAAATATGAGTTGTTTATATCTTAAGTGCAAAACTAACCGAAGACTTTAAAACAGCTATTTTGGAATACATCCAGCTTTTAATGTCTATTGCAAAAAGATGTATGTCATATTCTATGTAGAAAGTAAGATTTAATAATATTTTACTGTGAATGAGTATATACGTATTATGTGAAGACTTCAATATTATAAATAATAATAAATTCCTAAATGCATTTTCGATGAAAAATATCTCAATTAAAAGAATGTGTTAAAACTTTGAAAATTTAAACAATATATACAAGTATAAAACTACATTTTTAAATTGTAAAATGAACATATTTTTTTGCAATTCAATTATAAATTGAAATATATTACTTTAATGTGTAACTAGGATACGTTATTTTATAGTTAAAATGAAAAGTACTAGTAATTCATAGGAAACTATAACTAGTGAGTCAATTTAAAAAGGAAGCAAGTCCATTGCACAATCCAGTGCGCCGCTCTGGTTATAGCTACAGTTAGCTCGAGCGAAATTGGCCAATTTGTTTATTTGTTTTCATTGGCCTCACTGAACTTGACTCCCTATTATCGCATTCACGGGAGGAAGGAGTATTATCCGATTATTCCGTGGGACCGTCCGGGATTCTGCAGCCGACTTGCGTCTGCTAAAGAGTTCTCACACTACAGCCGTGGCCGGCCGACTGGCTTGTATCAAACTACCCAAAACAACTTACACACGTAGTTATAACAAAACATAAAAATCGTTCTTAAATACTGTCTTCTTTTGGTCGTTCGATTGATGGTCGTCTTTTGTTTATGTTATATTTTCATCTGTACTAATGTACAGATGAAAATTAATATTAATTAAAAAGAGGAAATATTTGTATTAATGTACTTTTGTGTGTATTGAAATAAATCTAATACTGGGGCCGATTTCAAAAATTCTTTAACCTTTACAAAGCTACGTTATTAGTGAGTAACATAGGCTGTTTTTTTAAAATATAAAGCGGCCGAAGTCGCGAGCAACAGCTAGTAACTAATAATCTAGAAGATTTTGTATTAATCTATAATAATATATTATTTTATAATATTATGTTATAAAATAATAGTGCCTTTAGAGTATAGAAAATAGTATTCATTATATTGCAAAGTCTAAAGTACACACGCTTAAGAAAACAAAATCAATTTTCTATGAGTATTATTAAAAGTTTTACTTAGCTTTTAAAAGCTCTGAAAGCAGTGAATCACTCCGTAAAAACTAATAAAGGTATACGCGAGCATAGTGTAAGTAAATTAAACATCACAGACCCGCCAACTTCAAACAAGCCCAACAAGAATTTGTATAGCTAAATAACTCTGCCGCTCTAACGTTTTGATAAAACACTCCACATTTTTGTCCCGAGGATTTCATTCGTCTGGACAAAGATCGCGTTATTGAATTCTTTTTGAGATACTACTGGTTACTACAAGTTTCATTTTCAAATGTTTCAACCAAATAAAATTCTGTTTTTAACCATTTTTTTTAATTTCTTAATATAAAATTTCTTAATATAAAGTTGTACTTCCAACAGGCCTTTATGAAAGATGTATGCCTAATGTTGGAATATAACTTATTAAATTGATTAGAATTGTTCATACTATAAAAGTAATAAATTAGGCATATCCTTGTAGTCATAAACTGTTTCATGCGTTGTCGTGCTCGAATGCACTTCTGCGCATTATTTGTCGACGCCAAAACAACTTCAAGTATTCGAACCCGCGACTTAATGTCTCCAGACGAGACGACGCTGCCGTTAATACGTGTATATGTATAGTACATGCCGAGGTGCGTTCACATAAACGCGCTCTTATTATATGTCATTAAAATGGACTCTTTTAAGTTAATTTCGCTGTGCGCAATTAAGGGCTAAATTGCGTGACATCATGCGCAGTAACGATAGCGACGGTTCGATGCGTCATCGAGACTCGGTCCATTCATACTGGCCCTTATTCCCACAGGCATGCATTCCGCTAAATATTTACATTCCAATACAAAGATTTTATCCAAACTACACGGCCGATCATCAAACAACGCGGACACATACAACTAAAACTTCCCGCAACTAAACTATGTTAAAACACTAAAAAGCTCTCAAACAAATCCGTAAAATATATTTATACCGATAACAATAAAAGCACTCTAGATTCGCGGTAATACAAACAACTCTGCAACACACGCGACTACAATTCTCTACAATTCTCGTTACAAAACGGGAATCGATTCGCGAAAGCTCCACAGCGAAAGCTCCGACGGAAGCACGCAAACGAACACCGGACCTCGCTTCACGCTCTACTGCCGGCGTGCCTCTAACAAAACCACAAAAAAAAAACATCCAGAAACTACCACTACAACTCAAACTACACTTGCACAACTTAAAAAGCTCGCACAAAACTTTCTGCGTTGAGGCGGCCGATACCTTCTCTGGTCGCTCGATCCATCCGCGCCTCCTTTTTTTCTCCGTCTCGCTGCCTCGGAAACACAAGAAGGACGCGCGCGAAAAATAAACAAAAAGGGATTAGAAGTTCGCGATCGCGTCAGTGCGTGTCGTCGGTGCGAACGACACGCGTACACTCGCGGCGGCGGTCGGCGGCAGACTGGCGCGCGGCGGCGGCACGGCACGGCAGCACGGCGCGGCACCGCGGCACGGCACGGCACGGTGCGGCAGCCGGCAGCGGCACACACTCGCCGTTCGTCGCTCACTGTAACGGCTCTCAATTACACCGCGATAACTCGCCGATATTTTACTTTCCATTCAAAATATATCATTTCATTCTCCAAATTTTCTCTTCTTTCAAATAAACATTACTTGAATAGATTAAAGGTGTAATTTATAGTAGTATAAGACGAGAAAAATTAGAAATCGTCATTTAAATTACAGATAGATAACATCAAATTCTTATAAATTTAATTACCAATATTTTAAATTGTGATTTAATTTTTTTAAAGTAAAATAAGAGTGTTATAACGTGTGGTATATGCTAAAAGCGCAGCAGTAGGGGCAAGGCAAGGCAAGGCGAAGCGCACAGCTGCCGCGGCCGCCAATGGCGCGCGGTCACGTGACGCCCCGCGCCCGCACACGCTTGTTTACAAATAATAATAATAGGGACGGTGGCGCCGCCTCTACAGCGCGGCGGCTACGCGCTACGCGCTACGCACAGCTGTCGGTGCATTTGGCGGGATTCGGAACATTCGCTGTTCGCTGATGCTTCGATCTGTTTACTTCGGAGCTTACGATGCCGTGGATCGATGCTATGCTTGTTGTTCAGTCGGCATTACTATCTGCATTGAACTGAGCGATTATAGCATTTTTTTGTTTAAAACCAAAGGGGGAAAATATGTGTTATTTGAAGATTTTAATTTTCAGTAGATGTAGTCTTCATTAGATGATAGTAGTAGTAGAGAAGTTTTAAGTTACATTAAATTTTTATAGCATACTTAGATCGTTGTCGCAAATGATCTGAACTACAGATTAGCTCTCAAATACACGAGTGTAGTGAATAATTCCCGTTATATTCATTTTAAATGAGGTAAAGGTAACAATAACCACCTGCGTTGTAACTCTTCATTGGCAATACGTTGTCAATAATGGAATTATTTAGTCATTTCGCGAGGAGGGTGCAGAACTTCCCCAGTGGTTGTCGGTTCGCGACAGGTTGCTGTTCCGATTGTTTCGGGACCAGGATGTAAGGTGCACAGAGGGTTTGAACCCCAGTGCATGCGTTCACCTAAATATCTCTGGATAGACCCCCTCTGAACCCCTGTGACGTGTGCGACCCCTGACCACGTCTCATTCAGATAAATATACTAATATTTACACTTAACACCACTCATTTGTTACAAATACACCTTTATCCTATACATAGTTGTATGTTAATTACACTAAACTATTCAGGATAATTTAAGTCATTTAAAATTTTCAAAGAAAGTAATTGTTAAAGGCAATCTAAAAAACACATTATTACTTCCTACGGTTTCCAACCAGTTGCTAAGTTGAAGTACAAGATGGATCTTACGTTAAAACAAGGGGACCTAGAACAATAATTTGCAAGAATATATTCGTAATGTCATGGAAAATAATCGAAGGTATTCGATTTTGTAGCGCTCCTGTCGGGCGTAAAGTACAACAAGAAAGCTCGTATAATTGAAGATGAATTTTACGAATATTTTCATGCCAGGCTCAAAATAAACTAATAATAGTTGCAATTGCATTTCGCATTTTTTATTATTGAGTTAAAGCAACCTTATAACCCAAAATAATATTACAGAAAAGCAAAGATCATTCATCACAAGTTATGCAAGTCAGTGTACTTTCACGACACCCGAGGGAGCAGGCTGCATTCGACCACTTGCATCCATCCCTACGAATTCTTAATAAATAAATACTAAACATTATTTTGTATTAGAAATTTCAAAATCGAATAAGTTCGACCAACTCAGGGCACTTCTACAGAGGTTCTATAGCCTGCGAAAAATTATTTAGTATTCTATAAGTTCTTTCAGATTATGTTCTAAATCTACGTTGAATTTCAAATCCATTGAGTTCTTTATATACGTAGTAACAAATAACCATTCATGTCAACTTTCGAGAAATAAGATGGTTTTAAAAACCTTTTTTTTTTCAAAATAGCTTTTGTAACGTTTTGCCCGCGACTCTATTCGTGAAGAAATAAAAACAAAAGTAAGTAGCCTATGTTCTCTTGTAAACTATCATCTACAATTATGCCAAATTTCATCAAGATTCGTTCAGTATATCTATTTAACTTTTATAGTATTAGTAAGGATTAGTCTATCAGTATTCAAACGGCTAGTTTGTGAACTAACCGCGACTCGTCTGAAGATTCTTTGGGATGTAATATTCGCTGGCGGCGGGCCCACTAAATCGATTGCCAGTTCTGCTGCCCCGTCTATGATGAGTCATACAATTTTCACGAAATTTCACTCACAATAATATGTTTATTTCTCTTTATTACTACTACTTCTATCTGTCCGCTTACTCATAAATGATGACTAGTTTTTGTTGGATTTTTGTTTAACATTTCTATTAGAGATCGGTTATGTACGATGAGTGTAACGTAGTAGCGAATTCTGTATTACTTTTCGGGCGATTTAAATCTAGACCATATATGGACACTTTTATGTATCTGTAAGAAAGATAGGTATTACAATTTACATAGGATGAATACGAATTAATAAAATAATATAAAAAGCGTCAGTTAATTCTAAAAGTAATTTTAGTTGAGGTGCCAAAAATCTGAGACTTAAACGAATAAGGGAAATCCGAACGCTTGATCTTTCGATTTAGAATCTTTTATAAAGTTTTTATATGAGTTAAGTAGTTTCAGTAAATTCTAGGTTTTTAGTTTAAGTGGCGATAATATCATGGTGGTAATTACTATTTCTATATTCAGAGTTAAAAAAAATTAACAAGTCTACATTTTTAATTTAACAAATTTATGTCGTGTATGAAATTTCTTTTTAATTAGTCTGAATGATGCCTCTAATAAGAAGCATCATTGAGGCCACATTTCTGGTGCGTAATTACACAACCGACGTTGAAACTCGTTCAAGCTCAATAAAAAACTTAGTTATGCTCCATCATATCCCTTTTCAAACACCGGCCGAGCATTCCGAAGTGCGAACGTGGAACGGGACCGAATCAAAAATTAAAAAGGTTGCAACGCGTGCAAACCGCGCTCTTGCATCGCGCCGCGCCAATTTCATTGCTACAAAAGTGCGTAATATCGATTACTGGCTCCCTCGCCCTCAGGCCGTCTCTTTCCTACGACGCACGACGAACTCACCGGACCAATAAAAGCGTAAATTTGTTCGCACCACGAGCGCGGACCCTGTGCAATAAGCGTACGCGCCATTTTGACTTCGCCAGGAGCGACTTAGGACCTTTCTGCATTATCCGCTGCGTCCCCCGCCGTCGTCGCCATGGCGACCGATCTGTCACACGCACAGAACATAAAACGCAGCATTGATTTTTTCCCCGCTTCCTCTTTACTTTTACGCGTGTCGAGCGACTTTTTGCCTGGATTTTTATTTTTAAAAGTGCGAGTTTTGGCGCTCGCCGCGCTCGCTTTTAGACTTATTGTAATATCAGAACATTGAAACAGGAGTTTTGAGGCATGAGTGCTATTATTCTTCTAGTCATCTTAAACGCTCGCTTTGAAAGGTTTCTTTTAAATGAAGTATAAAATTTCTGTTTTGTCGAAAACTTTTGTGTATTTATCAGTATATGTATGATTTTCACAGCAATGCTGTGAAATTATTGTCTGTTATTCCGCTTCTTTTTAGTGAGTAGTAAGAATCCAGTATATTCAAAAAACTTAAATCGTTTTCGGTACTTTGCACATTAAAGCAATTTCCAATACTTAAGAAAAAAAACATACAAACGAATTGAGTACCTCCTTCTTTTGGGAAGTCGGTCAAAAATGAAACGAGTGCTCTTTGTTGTTTTCTTAATTTAATGAATAAATGTTTTGTATGTATAAAAATAATAAATTCAAGTTTATATGTTAAGGGTAAATTTGTTAAGGTAGGCTCTGTAGGCCCCAGGGTGCGGGCTGAGGGTTGAGGTCTCAATCCCTCACAGATGTGGCGATTTCCACCCTCTTATCCGTCGTTAACTCGATTCAAGGAAAATATGTTGTCTTAAGGGAGCTAAGCAACATGAAAATCGACTAGCGAATCCCATTCTTAAGAGGGATTTTCCCCAACATTTTGTAAGAAAATAATATTGCTCATTACCTGAATAAGCAAAATAATACACAATGCGGTATTAATTTTCACGACATAAGATCACATCCTTAGTTAAAACTAAACTTTACCTAGATGTTTTAACTTGTCATTTTTCACTTTATCAGAAGGGTGAAGTTTTGTTAATAGCTGCCATCGAACTAGTTGACGGGTTCATAAGTTTGTTATTTTTAACTATGTATCAAAAATATTAAGTAGTCTTATATTTTGGTTTGTTCTCATCATTATCGTCATCATCCTTTATCTGCCTACTTATTCTCTCGATTCGATTTCTTCTCGAAGACTTTTAATAATTATGTATGTACTAGCTGTCGCCCGCGACTCCGTCCGCGTGAAATTAAAAAAAATACAAAAGTAAGTAGCCTATGTGTTCTTCCTGACTATCCTCTACATCTATACCAAATTTTATCGAATTCTGTTCAGCCGTTTAGGCTACAAACACTAACAAACATCCATCCATCCATCCAACCATCTATCTAAACTTTCGCATTTATAATATTAGTATGATTAGAATGAAAGTAAATGTTTTTGGATGGTGTTCGAAGTTGAAGAATCGATTTACGTTAATTTACAACAATATGATTAATTTTACTCCCAATCTTTGTTTCTATGTATGTTTTTAAATTTCCCTTCTTTGGGTTCTCTTAAAATAAAACTGCCTTTCTTTTATACGTCATTTATTTCTATTTTTACACAGCATAATAATTTACATTAATACATTTAAATCTATTAATAGACCCGATTTTTATTATTGCTCTATTAACTATACTAAGTACACAGCTCTGATCTTAATATGAATACGTTACAAACCGTATTCATATTAATTATTTGTGAAAAAGAATATTACGAACATTTTAAAATCATTTAATATGAAATTACATTCGAATTGTAAATTATCTTATTATAAACAAGTGTCAAAAAAGGGTAAACAAAATTTTATAAGTTCTGTTTAATTTCAAAACACTATAAAATTGTGAATTGAGTATAAAAATTTAATTCTTTACAAATATCCTATATCATTTTTAATACATTGGATAATACTCAGTAATTAGGATGCTTCACGTAATTCTCTATAACGTAAAGGCAAAACCATATTTAATTACTATTTTTTTAATCTAAACATAAGATGTCATGTCAAAAAAAAGTTCCAATAATATAAAAACCTTGAAACAATAGTCACATAATAATTGCTTACGGCGCCATCTAGTATTAAGTAGGGGAAAAACAAGGATGCCAAATACTTCAAGGACGGGGATATTACCACAGTGACTGAATTTTCTTGAAGCTTCAATTATTGTTGACTATGGTGCACTGACAGCAGCTGGGTATCCAAAACAAATCCGTGTAGAGTGTCTGACCGCTCGTTTCCAGTGCAACTAAACGCTTCTGAATGTATTTTTGTTCGCAGCGAGAACTATATCCTAGAGGTATTGTGCACAAACCATTACACTCAGTAGACCTGAAACAAAAGTAAATTAAAAATACAGAAAACAAATAGTTTTATTTCGTGTTGTTTATTTTCGCTATTCGATCATAGATGGCGCTAATCCCTAACTTTATAAAAAAATATGTAATAGATGGCGCTGCTTTCAATTTAAATTTGCAAAGTAAATAAAATAATTCAATAGTATATATCAAACTTACGCGCAAATTTCAGCGCGCACCAGTTGTGTCATATTGTCAGCCATGTTAACGACATATCTCCAGTTGCCCTTGTTGTTGAGCGCCGCCCGCGGGGTGATGAATTGCGTCCTAACTCGGCACAACTCTTGTGTATTGTCCTGCGCTTGTCGCCGAGGTCGTTCAGCAGAGCTGTCCTCGCTGCAAAAAGAGAAATATAACATTATTTTTTATTTATGAAATTGCCACCACATCTACTTTGATAAAAAGAATGAATGATCGTATAACTAAACATGAACTTGGTGAATGAGTAAATAATATTGAACTAAATTATATACTTAGCCAGTCCTAATGCTATCCTGAGAGCCTCAGCGCCGGTCAACTTCCTCTTGGAAGCAGCTTGCACCAGTTCGGCGTTGCGGCGCCGGCGTACCGTGGTTGTGTGCGCCGGAAACGATATCGACCGTTGGATCGTCACACCATCAGACCTGGAGGGTGTCATATACCTGGAAAATCAATATAAAATGTGATCATGACACTGAAATTATTTAAAGTTGTACTGCATTGTACAATAGATGTCGCTATAACGAATAATATTTCGATTAAAATGTTTTTTTCTAATTTATTTGAAAACAGATTTATGCGAGTTTCAATATCCCACTTGTATATAACAACCAACATTTTTTTACTCTCCTTGAAATAGATGAAATGGAGGTTTCAACTGAGGGTAAGGAGTAGAATCATAATTAACAAAAAATGCAAATAGACTTACTTCCACCATTCGGTAGGATTGTATTGAGTGACGCTGTCGGAGTCCGGTTGTCGAAACCACTCGACATCATACCCCGGGTACAAGTTAGGCTCGTTCAAGAAGCCGTGGTTGTAGCCCGGCGAGTGCGGAATCAATGTATGATGCCTCAAGCCCTTCTTGGTGTAGTCGTACTGACGATTGCGGTTCCAGTAATTGCCACCTGAGACATAATCGTTGAAGCCAAGCTTGGTGTTGTTAGCTGGGAGGTACACGTTGTATGGGGATGGGTCGACTGATGACGGCGGCTGCAATGACGTCTTATCGGAGAAGATGTCTATAAAGTAAAAGCATAATGTTATAAAAATATTTAAATTGGACTTGAATGCTTCATTCATAAGCCTTTCATTAAAAGGTTGGATGAATTAGAATCTATACTGATATTATAAAGAGGAAATATTTGTATTTTTGTATGTATTGAAATAACACAAAAACTACACTACAGGTTTTAAAATTTTTTTCACTATTAGAAAGCCTAATTTGGCTGTAACATATTTTTTTTTAAATTTCATGCGGGCAAAGTCTTAAGCAACAGCTAGTGAGTAATAAGATGCGTTTATTGTCATTAATCATATCCTAGCAGAAGGGTCGTTTTACTTGGTATGGTTTTATGAAATGTCAGTAGATTATCAAAGTACCTGGTGTGAATCGACCATGATACTTATGCACGTCCTTGTGGTGATGTGTGGTCGTCAGAGGGTCGTGTACCAGCGAGATATGGTCGACGTGTGGCAGCGAGTTAGGTCCGTAACTGTACGGATAGCTGCCCTTCTTTTTAGCGTCGAACTCGTCTCGGCTCTCATCAGTCAACAGCGTCCGGATGTCGTACTGTCCCGCTTCTATCAATTTGTGGATCACGTGCCTGAAAGAGATAGTTATATTTTGTGAGTACACTTCATTGTTGTGGTTGTAACAAATCTTCCAGTCCAGCAAATCTAATCATACTTTCTACTTTCCATCTTCAATATTTGTGATATTCTAGACTAATATTGTTGAATTGACTCACTCCGGGTAAGGTTCCGGGTGCAGGCAGTATGTGAGGCCGGGCTGGGCGCAGGGCGGATTTCGGCCGGGCGGCGCGGGTTCGAACCCGCACTGCTGGCCGTAGGGGCAACTGTACCCATCTCCGCCGCTTACCAACCACACTATCTGTAACACGATAACATAATTGGTTTAAAATTAAAATCAAAATGTCTCTATGCGAACTAAGCTTGTAATTTAGACGTCTAAAAGATGTTAGTGTTGTAGCTACTACTCGTACATTAGTCGGTATTTGACTAGATTACTATACTAGTGTGAATTAGGTATAAAGGACTGCTTCACTTTCACCACAGATAATGTAACATACTAATTAAAAGTTTAAAAAAAATTAGAACACTAATATTAGTTTACACTAATCTAAAATATAGAGCATATGGTGGCTAAAAATCAGTGACTCTCTGAAAGTTTGAAAAACTGAAGTCACGACTATAAATACTTCAGTTAAGAAACACAAAAGAGTTTTTATTGTGTTCAATTTAATTTTCAATCTGAATGAGGACTTAAATAGCCACTTACAAATCATACCAGGAATTTAAAAAAAACTAAATTCGGTCATACTACGCTGAGTCATAGACAAGGCATAATATTTGGCACCACCTGTGTCATTAGCTTACGCAGTCCGGTCTGGTCTCGCCTACATACAAGCTGACACCTTTCTCAATAGACGCGATTTAGTTAATACAATAGAATCGTACAATCGATCTGTACGTGTGATAAATTGAGTCACAATAAGGGTACAGTCTCACTGCAAGCGGTTAGCGAATAATATTTGCAAAAAAATTTTTGAAAAGAAAAAAAATACTTTAAACAAAAGGCTGATAGTTTTAGTAATTTTAACATGCGATTTTCTTATTTTTCTGAACTTTCAAGCAATATATCAATGACTCATACTGGCTTCACTGCAACAGGCAATTTTCTCATATGCATTTTACATTCTGACCCAAGTAATTATTTTACTTAGAAGAATGTCCCAGCAACGGATACCTAATTGTAAAAATGCGTGATTTTAAGTTATAAACAATTTACTTATTTAAAAAAAACATAAGAGAAATGTTTCTCTTATACGATACTAGCTGTTGTTCGCGACTTCGTCAGCGTGGAATTAAAAAATAGCCAAAGCTACTCACCGATAACGTAGCTTTTAAATGGTAAAGGAAATTTTAAAATCGTCCTAGTATTTTTTGAGTTATTTCAATACACACAAAGATCCAAAAATACAAATCTTTCCTTTGTTATATTAGTATAGATATAGATATAGACAAGGTTAATATTAACATTATGAAAAACGATTTAATAGGACGGTACGAAAAAACACTAATTGTCTTCAACGTTAATTAAAACTTGTATGATTAATTTTGATTTTTAGTCTGTGAACAGTGTTTAAATACTTCCTCGTCCGGTGACAGTGTGGCCACACACCGGAAGCCTTGCATTCAAGTTCATTCTCCGCGTAGCCCCCGGCCCCCGGCCAACGGCTGACTTTTAAAAAACTATTGTCAATGTCAATTGCAGTAACCGAATGTCATGAAACAAAGCACCAAGTTCTATAAAGTTAAACATGAATCTTCGATTAACAATTTACTTGTACATATTTATAGAATTGGTTACTCGAATACATTGTGCTAATATATGTGAAAATTTCATTATGTGTATACCGACAGGTAGCCTAATCTATTATTTGTGTGATTAATCCATTTATTTCCAAAACTAGCTGTCCCCATCCGCATGAATTTATGAAAATTTTACTTTATCATTTACATTTGTCAAATTACCAATAGCAAATGTCAAAATGACATGACATGACAAACCTTGATAATCTTCCTTCCTTGATTTTGGCAGCAACTTATGGTCTCTTTTCCACATTAGGGTTTTTATCCAAAATATTTACCCCCTAGTTTAATGGCGTGAAAATATATAGCCTAAAACGTGACGTAAATGCTGGGCTTTTTATTAAAAAGATAATTATTCAAAAATATGGTGTAATTGCTGACATCTTAGGCAACAAAGAAGTGTGTGTTTACGCTTTATTATAATAGTATAGAGTATAGATCTGTAACAAGTTTATTAGCAAATAGAAATCCGCCCTAGCTTGGCCTTGGTGACAAAAAGTCTCATATCTTTTCTGTTATTGTTATACCCTTTCCAATGAAGTAAAATTTAGCCTACATTACTCAGTGACAATGAAGCTTTCTAATGGTGAAATAATTTTTAAAATCTATTCAACTTTGGGAGCCTATTCAATGCAAACAATCAATTAAATATATCCTCTATATAGCATTAGTATACATTTATTACAGCACATAAATAGATTTCTATATTTATGTAGCTCCTATTTACCGTTAGCTAAACCCTTTGTAAAACACAAATAAATAACTCATCACAACTAAGGAAATTTGTTCTAAGACTTTAAAACTTAGGAACAGGACGTTATAGCGAAAAAGTACGAACTTATGTAACTAATGCGTATGTTATCGGAGAGTGCTAATCCATTATTCAAATGGCAAGGATAGTTTTAGAAGTTCGTTGAACTTTACTATTAGATTTGTCGGTTCCTTGCAAACCGTGCGGGAAACCGTGAGAAGTGTCAGCGATATGCGGGCAGCGTCAGATTACTCGTTAAGCCACTTTCGTTTGTGTGTGCTGCATACATGATGTGGTGACACCTTTATTGCTATCTTTTATAGCTTCCTCGAACACCATTGTCAAACGACTTGCATAGATCAAATGCCCTCTATAAATGCCTATAAAACATGGTGTTTTGTACCTATTTGGTTTTCCATTTTGGCGTTAGAAGATGCGGTTAGTAACAATGATTATAGTTGTCAGTGAAAGCAATAAGTGTTTAATTGGAATGAAGCAAAAGCGTCATTTATGTATATTTATAGGTGTACGAATTATTTCAGGTCAAATCTTGCCAATAGTCTTTTGAACTAACAGACTAATTCTCTATAACCGATGCAAAATATTGAGCAAGTTTGATGAAATACATTGCAGTGAAAAAGTGATTAACTTCACACGTATGTTATTGATGAGTGTAATTAGGTTATTTTGTGTCGACATCGAGAGAATGTACCTTTTATAATACAATTATTAGTAATTATTGCTATTCATTAAGTTGGTTTTATTTCTGCTAATTACAGTATTGAATAAGGAAATGCATGTATCATTTTGCGTGGTATGCCGCAAGAAATTAATATTTATTTATTTTAATTAATCTTAATATAACGTCTTAGTCTAGTGCTTAATTTTGCTATCATATTCCACTTCGCTTTCTAATTTCACTAGCTTATTTTTTTACATAAAAATGTTACCTATCCTTGCCTCTTAATAAATTAGTACTTTGACTTTTTTGTGAAATTCAATCATTTTCTGGTGATATTTATTTAATTATAAGTTTCATGGCGAATACATGTACAGTCTTCACAGCAATTTGTTATTATTTTATTATAATACAAATTAATTTTCTAAGTTAAGTTTGAAGATTGTACTTTCGTTAAAACGTTATAAACTTTACAACAAACTAAGTTATTAGACAATGTGTTGTGTAACAAGTATGTAAATACTAGATATGATAGACTTATCTGTTACGATGCTCTCCCAAGAACATTATAATTATGCAAAAAGTAAACCGGAACTATCAAAGGTGTTACGCCTGTGAACTCGCATTGTGATGTTACAGACTTGTAGAATGAGATTACAAGATGACTAATGTTTATTGAGTTAAAGTTTGACATACCAATTCGTTCACATAGTTTGTCTTTTTTACCGACTAATGCTGAAGTTTCTATTTTTATCATTAGTTACCTAGTGATTCATTAGCTGCAAGTTAACTTCAAAGGAGTAAAACTGGAGTTACGTAGTTCGGAAACGCATTTCAAGAATTTATCGAACCAAAAATACTAGCGAATGGTTAAAAATCGCTGGGAAACTGGCCATAGGACGGTAACATGATTAACGGCGATGTACATAATAGTGCGTATGTATATGTTAGGTGTCTTCTCGTATTGTCAATTATAGAATAACAGCCAGTCAAGCATTTTGTTTTTTGGTTTATAAATACTAGCTGTTGCTCGCCATTTCGCCTGCTTGGAATTACAAAAAAAAATAGTAAAAATGTAACCTATGTTACTTAGTGATAACATAGATTTTATATAGTGCAAGAATTTTTGAAATCGGTCCACTAATTTTTGAGTTATTTCAATACATGCAAAAAATCTAAATCCAAAAGTACAAATCTTTTCCCTTTACATTATTAGTTATTAAAGTATAAATAAAGTTAAGGATATCTTAATAATTACATTATAAACATTCATCAAAAAGCATGAAAATTTACAACCATAAAGTTGTTTGAATCGGTGCATAATTCTTTTAGCAAATCACGTATTAAGAAAGTTACGATATAAAAAACATAAACACGATCGTAAACACATTTACAAGCGAAACCAGAAGATAAGGACGGATGCTTTCTTGTTGAGCGACGAGACGCGGCCACGTGTTGTGAAACAAACCGAGTAAACAAAACATTTCGAAACATTATTCAATAGCAGAAAATAATGGTCAAAACTGTAGTATATCTTCAATACTTAACAAATTGCAATACCTGAGTAGCACAAAAAAGAAGCGCCATTAGCCCAATACATAAACGAATTGCTTAAGGATTACACGATCGTTGGTTCGATTCCCGTCAATCGTCTAGTGTTCCATCCCAGTGCAAGCTTAGAGAATTAGACGGTTACCAGAAATATTAGTAAATTATAACTAGTCTACTCATATTAAAAGAAAATAAAATAATATGATTCCAGTGACGGCACCAAATATCAAACGTGAGTTGAGACGTCTTTGATTCTTTTAAGATAACGTCCCACGACAGTTTAAGCAATTTAATATAATTCCAGTTTACAATTATGTTATTTCTATCAAGTTGTTGATGTAAATTGGTTGTTTTTTTAATTAATTTATACAAGATACCGAGAAGGTAATAGTGGGTGTTATTGTTTATTCAAAACTGTTGCATTTGCGGTATAATTTTAAATATTTTTTTATAAAGTATTGAATTATTTTGTTCTTGGAAATGTTAACGATACGATTTATCATTGATTGACGTATAT